TCGTGGTTTTTTTTTTTTTTTTTTGGTTGTTGTCTAAGAGTGTGTTTGCAACTATCACAAAAAATTTAATGAGTGCCATTTCTAAAGTGATTTTACACTTTAGGTGAATGTATCATGTGTGCAATTGCTTGTGTACTTTCTTACCTTGAGTTTTATTCAAAAGATTCGTATCCCCCTCCTTCAATATTTCAAAGATTTAGATCCAAAAAGGAAAAGAAGTTGCGACAGAAACAGTTTTTCAATCGAAAACGGAAATGAATAAATACTTGAAAGTTTCATGTGATGCATTGCTCCATCTTGTTGGAAATAATCGCAAGAAAGCTTGCAGTTATTTAACAGGTTGATGCCTCCAAACCGTCCTCCTGTTAAAAAAACATCAGATCGGCTATGCATAAACGAGACGCAACGCACTGCCAGAAACTATTTCACCTGTAGGGGAACAAAAGTCAGAATATCGTCTGATGAATTTCGGTTTTTCTCTCAATTTAATACGTTGTGCTATTCTTAAATAAAATCATAAGCTATGCTGTAATGTGTGCTGTAAGTACGTGCTGTTAGAGCATAATGGGTGGTACATTCAGGAGAAAGATTCGTGATCCGACTGCGGGGAGTTTACGATAGGATACTGAGATAGTTCGGCCTTTTGTGGTTAGAAACATGAAATGTAATTTAGAAATGATATTTGGAACTTGAATTTTAGATTTAGATCCTGAGGTGCTCGCCGTAAACATCGTGGACGAAACGTAGTGAAGAAAGCTACGCAAGGCGAAAACGTCGTCATATATAGCACCGTGAGAAAAAAGAAAGGAGGGAAAAAGGGAAAAGCAGGTCTAAAACATCGTACTCGAAAATAAAACGGTTAAAAAATATCGCAGTTTTAAAACATCCCCGTAAAAATATTACTGCCTTCTACGGATTAGTGGATTTGGAGTAATTAAAGACAACTCTTATTACTCAGGACAGTTCCAAAATCACGTTTACGGTCGTCGAAAAACTACGACAAACACGCTGAAACAAACAGCAACACAGCTTTTAAACTCTCAAACTATAACGGTGAAGGCAGCTTCCCGGTAAAGTACTAGAGTACAGCTCCCGACTCGATTCGGTCGTTCTCGGAACTCAACGTACTCTCGAGACTCTCCAACGCTACAACTCGCGATGCACACGATAACCTCAACGATGCACCAATTGGCGATACACTCTACGCTAGACTGCTACTCCGCGTACAGGCAAGGTTTACATAGCTTTTGGCTTGCCTTCGAGAACATTCTGAGCCAAACTGGTAATAATTTGTTCCAGAAAGTTTTACATTCATCTATGGCAGGCACATCGCTAATTTTGTCTCCAAATGGGTGATTTCGAGCCAAATATAGCAACTTTGCCTTCCCGTGCCATTTTCTGGCAACCCTAAACCCGCCTTGCGGGAAAGCTGTCTTACCGTGGCTGTGCATTTCGTTACAATATCATGGTAAAAAATAAAGCACCTACAAATAATCCCATGACGGTAACGTCGCAGACATGCATTTCTTACGCTTTAAAAGTTGAATATTTGAGTAATGACTTCTGAGGGCAAGAAGGAATAAGGAATGTTTTTACCTCTATAATTCATATTTTTTAATTAACTAATAAGTTCTTGCTAAAACAACAAGAAGGAAAATTATGCATTAAGAAACTAAAAATTACTATAAAATAATGGTACGTATAGCAGTTAACAGAATTTTAAATTTATATAATTAACTAATAAAGGTCATTATTTAATTAATCAATGTTATAAAGTTGTACTGGTAATTTTACGCGAAAAAATATAGCCTAAAAAATTAGAAAAGGAAATATAAGTAACTGCATAAGGTTATCTACATTAAAATTTTTTAATTAATTATCAAACTGCAAAATTATTAACCCAAAGGAGCGTCAGCCCAGAAGGGCTATTTGTCTCGAAGCGACATTTTGCGAAGAATCACTTAAATGCTATTTATCACTTTTCAAATTGTTGCCACCATATTAGTACGCTCTGTATTATATTTAAAGAAAGTAAATAATGAAGAATCTGCATGCATGTGTGTATGTTTCTCGCATTATGAAAAAACAATGGTTCAATCAAATTTTGAGTAGCATAGTCCTCTACCGAAACATGGGCAGGAATTTGGAATTTGTTTTATTATCTATTTCATATTTTGTAAAACTTTAACAAATTTTTGATTAAAAACTCAACAATTTCTAAGCCAGCAGTGGCAGGATTGTAGGGAATAAAATGTTTTTATCTCGCGCTATATTGTCTATCGAAAATTCTAAAGATATGCTGCTTTTAAATATTTTTAGCCCAAATTGGCATTAGCATGAATGCTCTTGAAATATATATGTGTCTGTAAATGAAAAACGCGCCCGTTTGGGCACAATAGAAAATCTGAAAGTTCATATTTTATTTTGTTATTTTTCTTTTTCTTTTTTTCACTTTGTTAATCTGATATTATTTTAGTAAAAATTGAATCTTGTTTTGTTTCGATTAGTTAAATACTTTTAATATAGATAATTTCATGCAGTTACTCACGTTTCCGTTTCTAATTTTTTTAGATTCTATTTTTCATAAAAAACTGGCAATGCAGCTTCACAAAAGAGAATAATTAAATTATGACTTTTGATAGTTAAGTACACAAATTCAAAATTCTGGTTAATGTTTTAAGTAGGATTATTTTTTTTAGTTTTTAAAAGCTTACATTTTCTTCTTGCCTGTTTAGGAAAAAATTAATTAATCCAAAAATATCGAAGTAAAGCTATTTCTCATTCTTTTTTTGCACTCACAAATCATTATGCCAAAGCTCATTTACAACATTAAAGGGCCCACCAGCGGCCGAGCGGTAAAGCCGCTGAACACTGGTAGTTCGGTCCGAGGTTCGAATCCCGCGAACGGGCTGGCTGCATGGGTGTTTTCGTGGTTTTCCCCATGTGTAACGTGTATACGAGTCAGTTTCCCTTAGAAAGTCCTCCACGAAGGCATCCCTCCCCTTAGGCAGATAGCCCTAGTGAGCTTTGCCATAATTAAATACACACACACAACATTAAAGACTGAATTCACGTCTGCTATATAATGCGATTATATTTTTAGCTATATTATTTTTTACCACGATATTTTTCATGATCATGTTTTAGAACTGCAGTGTTTTCTCGTTGCTTTCTTTTCTCCTACGATGTTTTTTTACAACGAGAATTTCGCCTTGCGTTGTTTTCCTGTGACGTTTTCGTTCGCGATGTTTTCGCGTGTAACCAGATTGTGATGGTTTGTTATCAGTTGTGTGCATTAGAAATTTAATGCATTTTAAGTTATTTCAATTAAATACACTATTAAAATTTTTAATTAAGGTTTAAATCCTTAGGAATTGTGTTTATTGTTTCCAAGTCTAATAATTATTTTTTAATAAAGACTAATTTTACTAACAAATGCTCATATGTGCTGAAAGACAAATTTATAGATACATAATATTTAAGAGACTGTAATATAATTTATAGATCAATCATACAGGGGGGTTATAATTAAATTGACCCTATTCAGATCCCTCTAGAACCTGTTCTACTTATTGCATTTTGATGAAATTTGGTATATATATGTTATACGGACCATCTTATATTAAAGTGATATTATATTAAACTTGATATTATATTAAACTGATATATTATATATATAATATGTAAATAAAATTTATAGATAAATTATATTAGAATCTTAAATTTTGATTATATATTATATAATTCATAGATTTACAATTATAAATTAATTTAAAACTATAAATTATATTATACTATTTTATAATTTATAATATTTTAAGACAGGTGATATAATTTATAAATAATTATTAAGATATATATAGATATAAGTTTTTCAACAGATTGACTGATTCAACAGATCAACTTGATTAATTACGTAAAAGTTAGATAAATTTTCAATTTCTTTTTAAGTTTTTTCCAGAAGGAGTAGTGCAGTTTTTAATTTTTATTTTCTGTAATTTACAAGATAATAGCGTCTTATAAGTGTTTTATTTTTATAATTAAATTTAAATAGTTACTGAGTTGAAGTTAGGGAAGGCCAAAAATTTGTTTAGAACAGCTGGAACCGTTCATTATATGGCACAACGGTCACAGGTGACATAAGCAGAAAGAACTTCGCTGCTAAGTAATAAGGCGCTTCTATATCTGCAAAATTAGTGTAATTTTCAATAGTTAAGTTCTTAGTTCTCGACTTTACGAGAAGATTGATATAAATAAAACAAGACACAACCAATCAGAAAGAAATGTGCGTTTCCAACCTCCGGTGAGTACTGTTGTTCGGTATCCATATTAGTGTAGGAAATGCACGGCGTTTTGGCTTTTTTTTATAAATTGCCACTGAACATAAATTAAAATTAAATAGAAATAGCAATTTAAAATCTTTCTGATAAAATTAATTCGGCGGGAATTGGAATTTACCGAAACTTAACATGTGTAATGATCATATAATGTCTGCTAGGATCAATAAACTGCAGCTTTGAGTCTATCGCATAAGGCTTTATTGCGTAGGGAGTCAGTAATTAGTGTGAATATTGCCGTGGCATTTAATAACTAATGACAAAGTTAATGTTTATTTATCATAGATTGGCCAATTCTTTAGGGTCTACTTTTCAAACAGTTGACTTGGTAGCTTAACACTGCAGAGCCTTAAAAAATGTATTTATAATTTAAAAGCAGATGTTTTGAAAGAAAGAAATGGTAGGCTCTAAAACAAAACAAAAATCATATTTATATAATCATATTCAGTTATCCTTTAATATTTAAACTCGACTAAAAGTAATTATTTAACAACATTTGGTACATAGTAAATAGCAAACACAAAATTCTAACCTAAAATTAAAAAAAAAACAATTGTAAATCGAATGTTTAACAGCTTTCTTCTGTTTACAAATTTTACAAACAAACAAATTTTAACAAAAAAAAAAAAAAAAAATTTAAAGTCATATGGGTAATTTTCAATACTTACCACTTATTTCACGTGAATTTTCTGGATAGTACAGAATGATTAGAAGCACAATAACGAAAAGGCAGAAGAGAACACTTCCCAAAATTGCTATTCGTTTATCTGCCATTTTTTGAAGCTTTCAAGTAATTATGCCATGTTCAAAAGATTTTTCCTGAATAAAAGAAAATAAAACACTTTTAATCTATTAAAAAAAGTGTACACGCAGGATGATTGATAAGTAAAATTTTTTATTGCGAAGCGTTGCAAGTAGTTATGTATAGAACTGCTTGCTGCTCGAAACCGTCAAGTAAAAGGCAACTTAGTTTCATTTCCTTGCTTGGCGTTCCACAGTACTAGCCGTCGTGGTCATGTGTACTACCTCTCAGTTACATATCAAACAATAATCGACTTTGTTACAGGTTTTGACTACCTAAGAGATAAAGCTTCTGCTTCAAAGATTAGGGACTAATTCAAAAAGGTGCTGTGATGCGTTACATACAATCCCAGAATCAGACCTTACAGAGGGATAATTTTAGCGTTATGATAAAGTAATGCCGCTCGAGATTCAAACGAGAGAAACTATAACAATCCCCTAAACTCACACTGATCCTGATTGCTTTTACAACCTAGATTTGACATCATGAGATTACAAGTTGTTTCCAAAATGAAAAGAGGTTTTGAAAGGCTAACATTTTTGATATGAAAGTCTCACTTTAGGTGCTCTGGGCCAATGACTCGAAATCAAACCGTATGTTCGTGATAAATGAAATGAAAGAGATAGATGCCATACTTGGGAATAATAAACAGTAACAAACAAATGAGTAAAATGAAAATATTTCTCCCTCATTTTGTAACCACTCTTGCCATTTTACTTTGTCTTACGTAATTTATAGGGGCCCACCAGCGGCCGAGCGGTAAAGCCGCTGAACACTGGTAGTTCGGTCCGAGGTTCGATTCCCGCGAACGGGCTGGCTGCATGGGTGTTTTCGTGGTTTTCCCCATGTGTAACGTGTATACGAGTCAGTTTCCCTTAGAAAGTCCTCCACGAAGGCATCCCTCCCCTTAGGCAGATAGCCCTAGTGAGCTTTGCCATAATTAAAATACACACACACATACGTAATTTATAGACTGCTGACATTACTTGATAATCACCTCTGGTCTACCATTTCGGTCTTTATCGTAATATTTAAAAGCACTTTTTATATTTATTCATGAAAGCAATTAGCAAAGAAGAAACATTAATGCTGCTAAAAAACTCAGCAATGAAGACTCATAACAGCTTAGAAATACTGATCGTATTTAAATTCGTGTATAATGCGTATTGCTACAAAAACACACATTGCTACCAAAACTGGAGACAAGGAGAAAAAATATTTATTAAATAGTAGAAAGATTGTTTCAATCCAAATTTATTCCAGTGAGTAATATTTTAAACTATATGTAGGTATTCTTCGTTTATTGTTACTTTAGAAACTAAAGTACTTTCAAAAATTTCATATCATTGGTACAGCAGCATACTCTCCAACTCTTCCATTAATACACTATATTGATGTAGTCAGTAGAATGAGACAGCTAAGTAATGTACGTTATATATACAGAAGTGAAATAAAATGAGCTAAAACTTGCCTTTCAATTTATAATAAGAGCTGTTCATTTAATTCCCAGACTGAATTTTATTAAAATAATAGGCATGATTTAACAATTTAATCTGTGCTATCAATGTTAAAGTCCTCTATTGTTGCTATATGCTTAGCCCAGCGTTGGCGCCCGCGCAGCACTTTATTGAATTCATTTAACGTTTTTAATACTATCCTGGAAACCTTTCTCTTTTAAAATAACTTTCTAGGAAACATGAAAGAGATGGAGCAAGTACGGGAAGAACTAGTGTTTCTTGCCCAAGAATCTTCAAGCCTCTATCAGTTGTGTGTATTAGAAATTTTTAGTATTTTAATTTATTTCGATTAAATACACTATTAATTTTTTAATTAAGATTTAAATCCTTAGGAAATGTGCTTATTGTTTCTAAGTCGCTCATTTTACTAATAAATGCTTGTATATGTTGAACGATAAAATTAAAAAACTTATTCTTTGTGAAATGCAACATTCTGAGAGCAAAGCCGTGCGAAAAATAATGAGTCTTTCGTATCCTTCAACAGCATTTACCAAGGATTGTCTGTACATTATTTTCGTCGTTTGTCAGTCAATTTCAGATGCATGATTTTGGCTAAAGATTAGGACATGATTTTACATGCTAAATTGAAACAATGTATCTCCTCTGAGGTGTAAAAATTAGCAGTAAGCACGGTTTAATAGAAAGGCAAACGATCCAGATTATTGAAGTTCAGATAACTTAAGTTCTAGTGCCTTTTTATTTCACAGGTAAGAAGAAGCACGTCTTATATTATCTTCTTTAATTCAGAATCGACGTAATCATACAGTAGCTGCATTCTTAAGCTTTGGAATCATTTAGATCCTTTAGCGTTAGAACACCAGAGTATTCAAGTCCCGAAACATGTCACCATGCCTTTACCTGATTTAGTAAAGTTAGAAGATTTTCGCTTACTGTGCATACCCAGAAGGGAAACTTACGTGCAGCGGAAATATCGGCACATTTTACAAACTATATTAAATTTGAAAATATGTTGATTGTGGAAATTCATGAGTGACAGCGAAAGCGTTGATTTCGCCAGAACTTTATCTTTTTCATAGCATAAAAAATGCATCAATAAAATTATTGTAATGAGTCATTTTGGAAAACCTTAACTTCACGCTCTCACAATAACTATGTTATTAATTCAGAAGTCAAAAAACAAAAATCAGCGTTATATTTCCAAAATTTTCACAGTACTAGTTTCGATGGTTTTACCGAACCACCATCCTCAGCTGCAAAATCGCAAATGAACAAGATAGGAAAATAATGATTAGATAAGATAAGAAAGCTGGACAAGAATAAGCTAGTGGCGCCATGTGTTGGATGAAACCAGAACTAAAGCATAACTTCTTTAAAGGCCGAAGGCAAAGATAGATTGGAATTAGGATCGTTAAGTAGAACAGAAAGGCTTTTTTGAATGTGAAATGCCTCTATAAAATACAGCCCTCCAATGGAAGATGTTTTTTTAATAATTTTGGCAGCAGAGAAAATTGAAAGTGTGATTTTCGAACCAACAATGTTGGAGCAACAGAAGACGATTCAGAAGCCGATATCTTCCTTTATAACATATGCCTCATGTTCCTTGACGCGAAATTTTAAGGCTCTCCTAGTTTGGCCAATGTAAATCAAACCACACTGGCAAGGAATCCTAAAATATCCCAAGAATTCATATCCGGAATGGGTCCTTGAGTATGGAACTCGGAATTTTATTGATGGGAGAATAAACAACCGAAAGTTAAATTTCTGCAAAATATGTGCAACTTTATAGCTAATTGATGGAAGAAGGGATGAAAACAGAATTTTTATAATCTCCTAAACAAGAGTGTGCCTTTTAGTGTGTTGACATGAGAATTTTTTAACTGCTTGATTAATAACGTTGGGTGAAAATCCCCTATCAATAGCCATCGCCTTTAAATAATTTAGTTCTTCATCAAGGAATAGTTTGGAGGAGCAAACTTGAAGAGCACGGAAAACATAGGAATAAAATAAAGCTAACTTTTGTTTAGTCGGATGGCATGATTTAAAGTGTGGTGGAAGGCAAATCGATGAAGGTTTACGGTAAACCGTAGTACTGAAGTTGGATGTGTTACATGTGACCAGAATGTCGAGAAACGTGCGTTCGGGATGTCGTTCGTGCAGATATTGAAAAGAATAGGGACATGGAAAGACCCTTGTGGCACACCAGCTTGTATAGGCCTCTTCCGGAGCCCGTACTGCTCAGCAATCAATGTGTTATAGATATCGACGTAGTTGAGAATTCTTTGCAAAAAGATATACTCAGCAACTTTAGTGAGGGACTAGAGGAAGCTGATGAAGCGGTAGGACAACAGATCTCTTGGAAATATTTTCTCAGCCATGTTATTAATTCCACTGAAAAGCTGTCAGGCGGCACCGTCAAATTTGAACGTGTCTTTTTTGGGCTCAAATTTTCGCTAGTGTAAATGGACCATAATTCTCTCCAGTCCCTAGCAGCTGCTAATTTCCTTATAAGGTTATTTTCTCCCTCTTTCCAGTATGACTTCATGGTGTAACGGTAGCACACTCGGCACATATTCAAGAGGTCAGGATACGAGTGGGGTGAGGAATTGCACATTTTTCACATCGCCAGCATAAAAAAAACCTAATGACTCTTACAGTGGCGCCCGAACTAAAAGGTCGTGGACGATAATTCGTCACTACCAGGATTTGATGATGATTCGGTCTTCTAATCCTCAGTCCCCCTTTAAAAGAGGGAGTATCTAAGGTATTCTCTTCCTCCTTCCAACATGCATACTTTGTGTAGCGGTAACTCACTCGGCGTGCATTCGAGAGCTCCAGGGTTCGAGTCCCGACGAGGGGATTGTACATTTTTCATGTCTCTTGCTTCAGAGAAACCTAAAGACTCTAGCTCCTTATAACAAACACAGAAACACATTCTCTAAAATTAATGCGGATTATTGTTATACTTCAAAGGCATGCAGATTACTTACTAAAATATTTTTTCTCATAAATTTGATGTATATATGGGATATCAGGGTTAAAGCTTTGTTATGCTGGCAGCAGTGGCGTAGCTAGAGTGGGAAAGGGGGATCATCTGTCCCCGGGCGTAGCATCCAGGAGGCGCCAAACTGATGTCACAATATTTTAGAATGCAATGTTTTCCATTCTTGGCGCACAGAAAGGAGCGCAAAATTTTCAGTTGTCCCGGGGCGCTGAAAACCATAGCTATGCTTCTGTTGGCAGCAATTAAGCTTGATTTTTATTTGCTCAAAAGCAAATGAAATAGTACCACAATATTCACATTTTACAGAAAAATTACCAATAGCACCCACAAATATCACTTTTCGTCTGGGGAAGATATAGACATGCGTTGATTTCGCTATAGCGTTGAATCCTGAGAAACTGGAAATGTCATTCGCTGATAAGCTGATGGTTATTTCCATAATAAAGCCACTCATTTTCAGATACCATCCTCTTACAACTGAGTTCACGGCTCAGACTTTACAGTAGTGCCTGTAATAGTCTCTTTCGTTTCATTCAAT